TGTTTGTTGAGGGTGTACTGGACCATGTCTTCCGACCAGATGTGGATTCCGGCAGACTTGAGTACATCAAATCGAGCCTTGGTTTCATCCACGTAAGTTGCTGYATCYTTGTTATAGTCTTGCTTGCARTTGAGGAACTTGAGCACTTTGCTTGCGRCATCGAGCATYGGYTGAACCATGGTGTTGCTGTCCCTGTAGCAGTACTCYCTCAACAGCTTAAGCAATTGAAGTGTGTCTTGATCCTGTTCAGCMWKATYCMACTCACTGTTCGCCTTGATCTGYTGTTTCACWCCAGGGCTCARYTGYCCTTCRATGGATGAGAACAAGTTCTTCAARTCYTCCTCATACTGTTCAAACTTTTTGCCGGCTCGCTTCGCCTTTTCAAGCCAGGTTTGGTTTAGCAGTGCTTTCTTATTGGTGTCCTCCGTAACGAGTCCCTGTGCATTTGTTGCTGTGTATTTCGTTGGATCCGGCATCGGTGGGATGAAATCATCCTCAGATAGACCCTTGAGGGACAGGAGTGTTGCTTTTACATGAGAATTCTTCTTTCCAGCCATCACCTTGATTCCCTCGAACAGCTTGTCGTATTGCTGTGAGCTTGACCCGGTGATGGTGAGGCCTTTCAATTCATCTTGGCTGAGGCCAGTGAATTTCTTGTCATTTTGTGACTGATTTTGGTCCCCTCCATTTGCAGTTTTCCAACGGTTGCGATTCCTGTTGCGCCCCCTGGAGTTTCCTCCGTTGTTGGCAGCATTGTTATTCCCTCCGTTGGATTGCTCCTTAAATGAGCTTGATTTGGTGGCATCCATGTTGACTTTGAGTGCTAAAATTGGAGGACGTGGTCGACTCAACAATATACGTTAGCCTTTGGAGGGCCTATATGGACTGCTCAACAAAAGACTGTTAGAAAAGAAACTACTGTGGTGGTTTCGAGCCTGGCGATTTCAGTGGCAGGCCTTACCGGTTCTTTATTTTCAATTATGTTGATACAATAGCTAGGCTATGAAACCTTAAAGGATAAATGAATGTCCTATTGGTTAGATAATTGAAAATAAAGAATGAGCACACTGAGTTGGCGGGAGTTTATTTGCTCAACTCAGCTGTTGCCCATCTGCTGCATGAGCTCCTTGAAATATTAGAGGATTGGATCATATTGGCATGCGCGACCATCATGTGATTGGCGAATTGTAAATGTCAGTGGTATGTTGTGGTCGCGCCATCCGCGGATTCCAGATTAGTCCGTGTGGAGGTGCAGCATATATGTATTACGTATATGGTCATAAGTAAAGATCCCAGGATTGGATGGCTATTGGATATGCCGCACCGATATGGGTGCCATTGTGGTGCTCCAGCACGCCTTATTCCAACAGGGGGACAATCATTTCCGGACGGAGAAGCAAGTTTTTTGCGCTACGAGCCAATTTTTATTTGATAGCTGTTCTTCCGATATGCTTTCTTCCGTTTCCACAGCAAAGAATTGGATCCAATCCAATCCGATCCGACCCGACCCGATCCGGTTCGATTCGATTTGGATTGCTTGGTCACGATTCATTCCGCTCGACAGAGATTCGAAAAACCAAGCTGATGGTTCTTGTTAGTTGGTGAACAGATCTTGAAATTTGGTGGGTCAATAGGTGAACAAGGGGAGTTTGCTCCCCGTAAACATGGTGCGTAGTTTCCTCCTTTGTTCTGTTCTATTCCGTACGGGATTATAAAAAGCTGCGATGCCTGTCTTCTATCACAACCATGGCCTAATGCGGTGCGTTTGGATCCCAACAATAAGATCGTTTGATAAAAGACGACGATTCAGTGAGTCGGTCGACTATCATCACGGGGCAGAATTTGTATGTTCGCGCTGAAAGGAATACTGCGTATTTCCTGTCGGAGGACCGGAAGATTGCGGAAAGTTACTGCACCCTACATAAATGATGAAATACTTTGTCCTTTGCCGGTTTTTGAGTTCGAACACAATTGTACTCCAAAGAGGGTATCTGACTGTTGCGGCGGACGACTCATTCGCTAATGGATTTGGTTCTTCCTTGTCCCGCTGATTCTTTTCTATCAATTTTTTGGCGCCAACAGAAACTGCAAGCAGTCGAAGCATTCGGTGCATTGTTGTTCGCACAACTACCTGAATCTGAAATCGTTGCTATCTCTGATCTACCGGAAGGTCAAAATCGAGCATTTCTATAGCCGCACAAAAGACCTTGCACTACAGACCCCCTCCCCCCCTCTCCTTCCCGTGAAGGCAGTGCAACGTCCATGACAAGAAAGGATGGACGCCGAGGAAAGTATTTTGGTGCATAGTACAACACAACTTCTACCATCCTGATTTTCAAAATGGAGACATTAGAATTATCTATTTCTCTACTCGCGCGATTTACTGATGCGTTGTGCATCAATTGATATGATGGCAATAATGTGGTGCTAATGACCTCGTTTTCTCTTTTCTCTTGCATTCAACATGCATTGGATACTGATATCCCCTAATTTGGAGGTGTAGCCATCGGTTGAGATAGATTTTTCTCTTCTTTGCGAATTTCATTTCGTCAGCATGCCTTTCCCGGTCGCCTTCAATGGATCGGATGGATTGTTTCAATTTCCATTCACCTACAATACAGGGCGGAATACGAATGTGTGGATGCATATGGTCCATGCCTCCGAGCCTCGAACAGCCCTTCTTAGACTTCGATATGGCACGCCTCAAATCCATAGCTATCGACCAAAAACGAGCAGTCGATATCCCCGGATCTTGTGCCATTATTATTATCTCTCTTCCAAATCGGTGGCCAGCCGCGTTTCTTCTTGGCCAAGTTTCTTTTCTTTTCGCGGTTGTAAATTTTTTCCAGCTTTTTTTGCAACCGTTCGGAAGAGGGGGAATGTTTGACTGTTCTTTGGTGCGCGGTGGCATTCGCAGCAGCTGTTGCTTTGGATTTCGCTGCCGACTTCATAGCGGACGATTTGGCATGGTTCTGAGATGACGAAGAAAACGACAAGATCCATGCCCAAGGAATGCGTTGTCCTTTTGGTTTCATTTGCTTCTTGTTCCAGTCGTTCTTGGCATCTCGAGCACTAATCTTTTGCTGGTGACATTTTGCCTTCCCACTTGTTGCTCCAGTCGGGCCGGACGATTGCTTTCCCTGGTAGGGGGCAGAATTGGTAGCACCCTTGTTCATTTTTGAAACAGACGCGCATGCTAAAGCGCAATTGTCGGGCAGGGATAGGAAGAAGGATGAAATGATATCAATTTCGTCCATCGCGGCAGCATCCTCTGTATTTGCACATGCAGCAGTAGTGACGGCAGTCATGGGAACTACAGATGTCTTGTTGGTGTGGTTTCTCGGACCTAATCCCATTGATTGCTAATGAACTGCAAAACTTTGCGCTATCGTTGCTCATCGAAAGGATAAAATTTCTGTGAAAGAGGTTTTCGGTTTTCTTGTGAAGCCCGATGTTTCAGTGCGTACTTCTTTTTTTCCAAGCAGATATGACATCGCCAGCGCCTAACAGTATTTTTCATACCATGATTTTGATTCATTTGCCGTTGTATATGGGACACAAGTAACCGTCAAACATGTGTGTGATCAGAAGATTGTTTTGTAGTACAGTTGGCGAGAATATCGGTCCGACGACGTAAATTTCCTCGGAACTTTCTTCTCGTGGGAAGCTGCTGTGTGTTCGCAGATTATTTATCTTTTGACCACACACAACTCATTTTCAACCACCACCACACTCTCACCAACATTTAGGCATTGCTTACATATTTTTCTAACTGTAGCTATAAACTATACTGGATTATACCCACATACGTGAAAAAGGCTCGTGGCAAGAACGAATAACAACCGTAGGTCCTATTTTCATATGGGCAGAACGAGAACAGCGAGCTTCAGAAAAACATGGAAGACTAGAGATACAAGGTTGTAATGAATATGATACCTGTGTCGGTACAGCACATCGCGGTACAGTACATCGAGGTACACGGACCAAGGAATTCTTTAACCTGTATCTAGACGTAAAGACGAATGAAACCTCCCTCAAAATGCTTTGATTGGACAGTCGTCCGAACCGAGGTTTTCAGTCAACAATTTCATAAACCAGCAAACGCATCCGGGTGATGATCCATTGATATCTTTCTTTGGGCATTGACTCGGCTGATCGGCTCGATTTACAATGTCTTGTTGCATGAAGTAGTTAGAGCATCCAGTCCTTCTGGAAGCTCCCGAAGAGGACAAAACCACGTGGAAACTTTTTCCAACGATAGCCGAGCAAAATAAATTCTACGTGATCCCTCACAAACTTTACATCCGAAGAAATCTACGTCCACACCACACAACGGCAATGGTATTGAATAGACGGAGGATGATGTACTGAGCTGGATATTTAGTTTAGAAGCCAATTATTGAAGTTGTGTATTAAACTTAAGATATGCTGTTTTCATTAACATTAAGTGCTATATATTTTGTCAAAATTGTTTGAGTGATGTCGTGTTCACATTGCAAAACAAATTTTTCTTCGTAGTTTGAACTTTAAGTAGACCTCAGACACTTCCAATGTCTCATACGAAGTTGTAGACATAGTTTTATTTGTCGTTCCCTCCCTAACCGATTCGCGGCACCTTCATGACTACCCCGGCATCGTCGGTGAAAATTCGTATTCGATCTAACCGATAGTCTCTCGTAGTAGGGCTGTTGTAGTTCATCACAACAATCTTGTAGGTCTTCTTCCCGTAACGACGCTCCAGCTCTGCCTTGGCGTCGTCGCCATTCATCCCCACGAGATCTGGCCACTGCATTGGTTGGCTACCTTCCTCTTTTTCTTCCTTGTCCTTGGCCTTCTTATCTGGTCTATTGTCGTTCTCAACGGCGTAGTCTAAAAAATCTTCCAACATTCCGATGTTGCTTTTTTCTCCACCGAAGTTAGATTCGGGTGCAGTTTCTGATTCTTCTTGGTTCATTGTAGACGTCTCGTCTTCGTTTATCGTCGCTTGTTCTTGCTTATCTGCTGTTTCTGTTGTCAAAGGATGTTCGAAGTCGGCTTCTGATACAGAGGAATTGTTATCTTCACTGCTCTGAGAAACCAGAGGTGACTTTTTGGACATCTTCGAGAAATAGATACCTCCGAATATAGCAGCTGAAACGATGGCAAAAGCTGTAATTATCCATATTATCCTTCTTCCTATTCTTTTCTGGCTACGTTTGGAAGTATCATCAGCATTTCCGTGTGGAACTTCTAAGCCTTTTCTTCTATCTCCTACTGTGTTGCATTCCTCGTCGGATGTATCTCCCTCTGATACTGTGTCTCCGATGCAATCGTCGTAGATCTTCTTCTTTGAATTAACCATAACGTTTTATCTAGAAAGCAGTTGAAGTAGTAGTAATAAAGTGTGTGATAAAAAGCACTGTGATGTTTTCTTTGTAAATTGTGTTCTCGTTGTGGCTTGAATGGGGKGTTTTGAATTCCAGGCTGAAAAATGTTTTCATGTAGTAAAAAGGCGAGAGAAAATCACCGTCTAAGCGACATTCAAAAAGCAAGACTAGAATCAGCGATGCAAAAAGTGAACATCTGAAGGTTTGATCGAAACATGCGCAGATGGATATTCCAACGCGCGGGCACTATGGCGATTTTCAATTTTTGGCGAGTGAAACCGTTCGTGGAAATCAATGGGGCTATTTATACCTTTCCTTCGGTGCGCGAAATGCGATCAAGCAAATGTGATTAACGGTCTCCGAGGCGGGTGATTTTCCAAAAGAACTTGTCAAAAAACATTTATCGGTGAAAACCGCTTCCTCACTTGACAACTTCAATAAAACTGATATTCTAAGATACATTCTAATCGTGCTTATGTAGTAGTATTGGTCGTGATTGAACATTGATGAACATCGACGAACGAAACGAAGCTGATATGATGAACTAGTCAAGTCAGTTTCGACACGAACAGCAGCGCTGTGCAGTTTAGCAATCTCTGTCCAGATTTCCATCGAGGCCTTCGGGACCATTCTCAAGTGGTGAACACGGCGATAAATGGGGCATTTACTACATATATTTAGGGGGGTGGGACCATCCTTCCGTTCGATTTTTGAATTTGTCGTTCTAACCCCTTGCGAATGATATCTGAGTGGAACAATCGCTGGCTCCTGTTTCCCAAGTGGTGATGATTCAGACATTATTCAATATTACTCTAAAAGCACATCTGAGTAGATGCACAACTTAACCGACCAATTGTCGACAACATTGGACTCGCTGGACCTCATTACGCCGAAATTTCTCGCCTCATACAACAGTTTCAGCTTGGAATGTAAACGCAGCAATGAGATGGAAATAAATAGTTCCTGTCACGAAAGGTATATTGCGGACAGTGGCAACCTCTGGCAATTCAAGCAAAACTGCTTCCGATTTTCCGTCTCAGTATTCCCAATGACGTTGCACAAAAATAATTAAAGACACTCTTTGAGTATGGGTCTCGTTTGTTCCCCAAAAAACGGAGCACATGTACACACGATCAGATTAGTCGGACTGACAACCAACAGTTGAAATGATCAATCAGCTGTCAATTTTCCATTTCGTGATTCTCTACACGACCAGAATCGACAAAGCTTGTAAACTGGGAATAGGAAAGGACATTCCCCTTCGGACTTAGTTTTATACTATAGTTGCCATAGTTATTGCCATAGTGCCTATATTTAGCTTCCAACAATAGAAGTAAATAGGTTTGAAGAGGGCAAACGATATTTTCGATTATGTCGGGTTGTCCATATTCTGGTGACCAGTTTCTTTGCATGTAGTAGTGTCTTTTCAGTTCGAGCTCGTGCTGATCCTGATGAAGTGTAGTGGCTATCTTTTGTTTTTCCAAAAGGTATATCTCTGTTTCGGAAAGAATTAGAGCTTTCTTCGAATAGCAGAGAGAAGAACACCTGAGCACATATTCAGTAAAATCCAGCTTCTACGACGCCGATCAAACCATTCAGGGCACCCCAGTGGTAATAGAATGATCCAGTACAATCGCTGGCTCCTTTATAGGGGCTGTAGTTTTCGCATATGTGTCGATTGGCCCTCCATTGGTTCGTCAGAAGAGCCCTCATTTGATCGCAGAGTGATCTTCGAGCTCTGGCGATAACATTGTTCGACGAGATAGACTCCGTTTCCTCTGATGCAGACGATTGTCCTTTCAAGCTCCAGTAAACAAGTTGTGACATGGGACCCCACGAGAGACCTCGCCAATAATTCCAATGACCAGACACCATATAGGTCGGATCGTCAGCACTGACACTTGGCAGTCCCCAATAGCAAACATCCGGATCGTTTTCCGCAAAATCTCCGTTACGCGAAATGCAAAACCTTTTGGGATTGAGAAGCCAATTGTTGATCACTTCTTCCACATCTATCTGCACCGCGCTTCCAGTATTATGTTTGGTTTTTGGGAGAAGAAAGGGATAAAAACTGGTGGGAGTTATGGGATGGACAAATGACGAATTGTTAGGAAGTTGATATCTATTCGCAAAAATCTTCCGTTCGGGATCCCACAGATGTCGCAGAATAGCATCCTGTATCTCATCTCCCCTCTTACGCAATCGGTTGCCGACTTCTTGAGTTTTCCCAATGATATCAGCAAGTTCTGCAAGACAATAGGCTTCGTTTGCCACCAGTGCGGACATTCCCACGTCGTACATCTGCATCATATGTGTTGCGTTATCGTATGTGTCACTGTCATACCTGATTTATAGAGCAAGGTAATACGAACGGTAAGATCAAAGTAAAAGAAAAACGCAATGACACAAAAAAATAGCATGGCTGCTTACATTGGAGAATTATCCAGGCCTGACTCGTATCGTGCAGCTTGCTTGTCATTCCGTTCCCCGTCACGGTACGTCACAAAATCATTAGGATGGAGCGATGCCTTATAGTAACTTCCCAATGCGATGAGTCCAAATGGATCTAGCCTCCGATGCATCATAAACCAATCGTTCCAGTCCAACAAGTCGTCCCATAGCGCTTCCACAATCCACGTTTCGTTGTATTTACGAAAAAGTTCTAGCAGAATCTTGGCTCCGACCGGGGGTTCGGTGCGATCGTTGGACTGTAGAATTCCTCCAGCTGTACTCCAGTTCGGGACAAACCCATTCGGAGTTTTCGATTTGACTACCTGAAACAGATTGGAATATGCAATCTCCTTGTGTTCTAGACCCGCAAGCAACGATGCAAAAAGATTGTCCCACTCTGTCGGAATTGAATTGCAAAAACATCAAGTGGGAATCCAAACCGGGTTGAATACTCCAAGGGGCAATATCCATAGTGTTTCAATGGCATCAAACTACCAACTCCAAAGATCTTTGTTCCCTAACTTACCAAAAATGACGTAGGTCCAATCGGGTGTCATTGCTCCCGCTCTGTCGCCAAAGGATGCCCAGTTGTCACTCCTCGATACCGGTAAGAATGGACCATTCTCAATAGGGTTGTAGATCAAAGACCACATCACCGCAGCTTGGATAACAGTTGCAACTTCTGTGACTTCCCGACTATGGTTGTATCTTTGTTGGATCCGATCTCGTTCCTTGCATTCCATGGTGCTCAGAAAGTTTTCAACCTCTCGGATGGTCTGCGACTTCGAAGACGGTGCGTTCGAATGGAGACGCTTCTCTTCGTCCGGACGCTCTTTATTGACATCCAAGCCCGCGACGATTGCAATCTTTTGCCCATTCCCGGTGATGGTTATCTTCAACCCGTCGACAAGGGACGCAGCCTCCTCAGGAGAAGACGAATCACGCAAAGAAACATCGGAAGAGTCCGACTTCGTGTGAGTAGTTTTCGCTGTCTGTCTTTGCCGTAGCGATGTGAAGGGATCGCTAGTGACGGGTTTGTCATCGAACTCCCACAGCAGTCGAGCTTTCACGACTCCGAGGCCTGGTGAAGAAAAGGAAAATCCAGATTGCGAACCCTGGTCGTTTAGTTCTGCGGCAACGGTGCCGGGCCGAAACCACGCGTAACCGGGTGTCAATTCGACAACAAATTCTTCACCTTCACCGTTGTTGTTGTGAACAGGTATCTTATAGTCGACAACGGTCATTAAAACCCTCAATTCCTCTTGGTTTTTCCCCGATGCCGACGACTCGACTTTCAGGGTAATTCTGCTCCTGCTGGTGCCGTCATTTTCGTCCTTAACAACCTCGGGGGAAAAAGTGATGTTGTAAGATGCATAAGATCGGTCGTAGGCATGTCGATCCATTCGAAGTATTCCTGTGGAATCTGGAACGGCAGACTTTAGGCAGTGACGACGATGTGGCTGTCGGCGTGAGACAGTATCGTCGTCCGTGTCTTTGTCCTCTCCATAGTGTTGCTGCCAACAAATCTTCCAATCCAAGAGGATGCCCTCKGGCAGCTTGACCAGGCTCATGACATCCCTTCGCAACCAATATCCCCAACCCGTCTGCAGTGACCGCTGGAGATCGTCACGGCGTTGTTCGGGGGCTGACAGCGAGGGATTCAAGTGCCACCAAACACCGTGGTTCTGATTGGATGTCTGCTGCTGCTGCTGTTCAGTGTTGGTTTGGTTCTTTCCACTATAGAATTGGTCGTGCTTGAGATCTGTTGTCGTTCTTGTCGTCGTCGAGAGCGATCGAAATCCAGGGCTTTCGAGAAAGGATCTCTTGCTATCGGCTTTCCCCCATTGTACCTCGAGGCTTGGAGCCTCGGAACGAGCGGTGCTGGTTGTGTCGTTGCTCGTGATTTGGGCTCGAAAGGGATACCGTTTGCCCTCTCTGAGTCGGATCGGATCGTTTGCCAGTTCTTGCGTGAAGGCATGCCCATCGTGGCAGACCAAGTGGCCATCGATCTTAACCCATCCCGTAGACGTGCTTCGAAAGACACAACGAAAGATGACCCACCATTCGTCCTTCTTGTCATTGTCTTGCCAGTCGTTCTCCCCGCTTGTTTGCTTCGTACCGTTCACGACCATCACACTCCCGATCAATTCTCCCGATAGCAATACTGTATTCGGTTCGAATCGGCCAGAGTGTTTGGTCTCGGGTATTGGTAAAGGTGGCTCTTGGAGCGATATTCTCGCCAACGACGTGATCCCTTCGTAGCGGGGTGGATTGCCAGCAAGTGCGGCATTGTCGTAAAGCTTGTAGGTGAGTCCTTCTTGCAAGGTGTCAATCGGAGATGAATTCGGAATCGAGTCGCCTTGGATGTTTTCTCGTTCGACGTTTTTCTGATTGTTTGTCACAAAATTGTTTGAAGTCGTCAGAAAGAACAAAACATCCCAAGATTGCGAGCTTCGTCGTGAACTTTTTTGTCGCTTTCGTCATCTTCGAAATTGTTGCTGTTAAGGAAAGACGGGCCCCATCCGCAGAGATAAATCAAGCACGACGTTGGGATGATCTGCGCTACAAGAAGCTATTGCAAGCGAGTACTCGTAGTACAATAAATGGAAGAGACTTTCGAAATCTTGTGGATGCGAGCAAGTTGCATTTGATTTGGTTCGATGGAAATCTGAGGGAAATGGCTTCGAAGAGATCTTGTTCATTTATTCGATCCACTCGACTAATGTCGATGTCAGGGAGCTTATCGTTTTCGACCCAATCGAATAATTAAGCTTGACACGATTCCCCCCTCTGATGCACTGTACGTATGTAGCGGTACGAGTACCTACGTATCCCTGTTTCCCCCTCAAAACAGCGTGATCCGTTGCGTTTAAATCTCATGCATCATCAGCATCTTTGGCGTGCGCTTCGTTCCCGTCTAAATGGCAACAGAGGATGTCCGTCCCATAGTTTTGCGAATGGGATGTCACCGCCAAGAATGCACACCCGTCCCTAAGTGTGACAATCGGAGTATCACATTTTGAAGTGACACCTGATTCCCACCTTTGACGTAAGCGTGCAACGAATGGTGCCTGCCGCCAACGAAGCATTTCAGTTGTTCTTCTTCACTTAAGGGACAAGGATTTGATTAGGAGTACGAGTACGAGTACGAGGAGCTGGCTCGGGTAGGTGGCTGTACATTGGAATGCGAAATGGCGAGTATTGACATCAACAACGGAAACCATGGCAAAGAAGTGAAACGAGACCAAACCTTCGGTACTGTACCGTACCGTAGGATCTGTACGAGGTACGAGTACGATACTCTCATTACAGTACAGTAAAGTACAGTGCCAACATTGGTTCGGTATGTACTCGTGCTCTTTCCGGTACTGCTCCAACCGATGAAATAAATAGGCCGCCCTCTTGTCTTTTCCTTCGTATGAATTGCCTTTCGCATGCCAAAAATCAGTTATAAGAGGGAGCACTAAAAGTCTCAACGTAAGGCCCTGTGATCAACCATTGCATGTGTTTTAATTCATTTGCATGACATCCAATACTCCTCTCCATTTGTCTAGGATATAGAACTGAATTGTCTCCGATTTATCTACTTGCTTTGGCTTACTCTTCGACGCAAAAGGCTTTACTCTCTGAGAGAATCAATTGATTCAATCTACTTCGTACTCAATCCAACCTAGGCATTCGCATTCGGCCGGGTCACTCGCTTCACTTTCACGGGTCCGTTGTGTAATAACTATTGATCGATGAAGGAGTATAATTGCTTCTAGTATCAAGCAACGTCCCATTCGTTGTTTACCAAACAACTACAACACAATAACTTGATAGATATACAGAAGATTGCAACTACGGAAGCGAAGCCTCTTCCTGCTTGCGTTGCTGCGTTCTTCCCACAATGGGAGCGGCCGCCTCGTGTCCAGTATTGCTGCCTTTCGACGAGGACGATACTCTGAAGAACAGTGATCCAGAGGACACGGACGACATCGATACCAATGGGCTGTATCTGTTGCAAAAGGTTGCTCTCAGCAGCGAAGAAGCTACAGTGTATTGCGACGAAGACGAGGACAGAGAGAACGAGAATCTCGTGGAGGAAAGCATCGTGAACAACCTAGAAAAAGAGGACTCGATCAGTATTGTATTTTTCGAGGATGACGACGAGGACGAGGATGACGCTGATCAATCGCACGGCGCGTGTTTTGTTCTCCCACTGTTCGATGCCATCTCGTCCCACCTGTCCACGCTTGCGGAAGTCACGACGGCGAAACCGAAACGAAAGCGAGGTAGCAATTGGATGCATCCCGGCTTGAGGAGGCAAAACAGCATCCTCGCAGATCCCATGGAGTGGAAGAATGATCAAAGGGACAACGCCGCCAGCAAATACCCAGAAGCAAGCATCGACTTACTTCTATTAGAACTGCAGGAGGTAGGCCTCCGAGAAGAAGACGAAGCTGATGAGCGTGAGGTCGAAGAAGAGGACGACGATCCGGAAGAAGATATCGATCTGCTTCGATTCGAATTGGAGCGGGCAGAAGCCAATTATAGTTGCGTAGACGAGAAGAAAGACAAGAGAAAAACATCCCACGAAGATGAGGACGAGAAGGAGGAAGGAGAACCCTCTGATGAACAACTCGATTTGCTCCGGTTGGGGCTACAAGAGGCAGATGCCAGCTACGTCAGTCTAAAAGACAGACAAGTTGAAGACAAGAAAGGAGGAGAAATCTCCAACCAACAATCTGATTTCCTTCGATTAGAACAGGAAGAGGCAGAAGCCGATCTGTCCGATGGTGAAACGGTTTGGGAGGCTGAAACCTCTGAAGCAGAGCTCGAATCGTTTGGATTGGACCCAAAGGAAAATACGGAGACAACTTCCATTGCAGAGGACATGGATTTCTCGGAAGCAGAATCTGACTCTCTACGTTTTGAATTGCAGGAACAGTCGGAAACAAGTTATCAGCGAAGAGAAGCCACCAATCTGCTAATGCGTGGAGATCTTAATTGTAACAGGAGTTCCGGAAGCAAAAATGAACCATGCAAAAGATCTTCCTCGTTTATCGATCTGCAACAGCTTCTCTTTGCCTCACCGGATGAAACGAACGTGGAGGACTCTAGCTCGGTSAAGACTAACTTGACCGCAAAGTCATCGTCGTCGTCGTCTAGCAGTGTGCTGCTTTTTTCGTCATCGAGTATTCCGAAGCAATGCAAAGTTGTTGTGGACGTTTTTGAAACCCATTCGACTCAGTTGAAGCCCCGGTCTCGGAGCGACCATGAACGCTTTTCGCTTCAAAAAGCGGGGATCCCCTTTCGAAAATGCCGGGATCCTTTGTGTTCCTGCCATACGCCAACTCCTACTACTCCGAAGAACAGTAGCAGCAATAGAAGCGAGAATTGGAGGCTTCCCACCGACCGAAAGGTAGCGTATCAGGCGCAACATAGATCTGCTACAGAGCAGGAAGGCGATGATTTCTTTGCAGCATCTTTTTATTCCCGGAGGCGTGAGCGAAAACGTGCACTAAAAATGTTGAAGAACAAAGCACCGGCAACGGAGGAAGACGATATCACCGAAACTACGGCAGAAATCTCTGAGTCGACGCGATCAGCATCTTCCGCCTCCTTTGGCTGGTGCGGACAGCAGAGTATTCATCCTCGTGCAGCTAACACGAACCACAAGAGAACTCTTTCTCAAAGAGTCGTCAGGAATCAAAATGCGAACCATAATAATATTGACAGACTTGAACCTTCCAATCGAAAACAACGCTCGCTATCAGAAGATTACGTGGAGAAGAATGGGTACGGTTTACCGGGTTTGGCGTCGGCGGGAACACTTCCGACCCCTCTCCCATTGCAGAAATCTCCAGGCAGTCACAGAAACCAGCGGCACCAAACCCAGCCATCTCCGTCGCCGTCGGGAATGTCGTCAAGTAGCCACGGCACCGATTCCGTTAACGATCACGACGATGATACGAATGTGAATATCCATGAAGTGTTCCACGCTCGGAAGCGGTATATCTCAGAAGATCGTATGGCTGGGATCAATCCGGACGAATCTCCGTCCTCGTCGGGTTCAGTGAAACCACTCCGAGAACGGTGCAGTTCGGCTCACACTTCGTGTTCCGCTCATGCTTTGGCATCCAACCAACACCCCTGTGACAGTTCTGAAAAGTTCAAGAAAATACAGGACGTTTCACTTCACTTAGTGTCGCCTACCTCCGTGACAGAGGAAGTTGTTCTACAAGAAAAGCGCCATTGTCTCTTTCCTCAACGAAAGAGTTTGCACGTAGATGGTTGTTTTCAACCGCAACAATCGTACCCGCGAGGTTCGATCGAGACCAGTCCCTCAACTACGAATATAGACGGTTCTCAGGAACGAGAGAAGGCTCTTAAGCATTGCCGAGACGCCATCACGGCGCTCCGACGAACAATTAAAGCGGAATGGAGAAGAGGGAAAAGACACGCTGCATCTATCCGCGAGTTTCAGTTGCAACGAAGGCAACGATTGCAGCAGACAATGCAACTAACCAGACTGTACTACACAATGGGACTTATACATTACCAGCAATGCCGATACGATACTGCGAAGCACGTACTTGAGCATGGACTCGAGACCCTCGTTGCCGATCGCGCCAACAGCAGTATCCCTTTTTTTCCTGTTTCGATAGCGACAAGTGAAATTATCCCGGTCGCAACTGAAGCGGATGTATTGTTTGATGCCGATTACAATTGTGGAACGTATGGAGGTAGTATGTTGCCTCCACTTCCCACACTGGATGAGGTGGCACCACACTTTTCCAACCAAGCCTTGCTACTGGCAGCGGAACTAGTTCTAGCAAAGGGAAAAATCTTTGCAGCTCAGGGTTTGTGGAACGATGCGAAGCAAGCTTCCGGTAAAGTCCTACAATGGTCTGCCTTTCAGCGACAGCGGATGCACCACTCAATACCGCAAACGCAAAGCTTCCGATTCCAGCCTTCTCCCAACCACCAAGTCGTGCTGGAGTATTGGAGAGAATGGGGCCCAACGACGGCCCGAGCTCAGGCGTTGTATGCCGAGTGCTTCCAGAGGGAGAATCGGCCCGACCTTGCCGAGACGTACTACCAGGAAGCACTCGCGGTGCAGCGACACGTTCTAGGTCCGAGCCACCTGCAGGTGGCGGAAACCGTGTATCGGATCGGCAACTTGCATAGCGCCAGGGGCCGGCTCGACCTTGCGGAACCCGCATACCGCGAGGCACTAGCCGTGTACCGATTCCACCGCGAGGGCCCCTGGACTACTACGGATCCACACCAATCCCATACGACCGCAAGCCTCCTTGCTGACGAGGCCACGGTGCTGGCGAGCCTCGGATGGATATTTTTGCTAAGGCGGGACCGAGACAAAGCCTACTGGGCCACGCAGCAGGCCTTGGAGGCCACAGTCCATGCCCTTGGCCCGTCGCATCGAAACGTTGAAGCGCTTCGGTACCAGATGGACTGCGTTCAGAAACTCTGGACAAATGGTCCGCAGTGTTGACGGAGTGGAGGAGTGAACCATAGATGTAAATCGATGGTATTTAATAGTATCATAAACTGTGATCGCAGAGTATGCACCATCGCAATCCGTTTGAAGAATCAAATAGTGAAATATCGTTCATTATACCATAAACTTTTAATTGAATTCATGGTCTTCGTCAATAAGGGAGGGTTCAAAAGAATTTGGGTAGGATGGCTTCGATTCGACTTTCTTAGATTGTCTTGTCCAGCTAAAGCGAGTTTTAATGATGGGTCAAGGTGAAACCGCGTTCGAGTACAATCAATGCGTCTAACAACAACATCTCGACAATTCCCCAGTAGTTCTAGTTGTAACAAGTTAACAACTCAATAGAAAAATAGTGGAACAAAAATCCATTTGATTCCAAGAAAATGGTACGAAGTATGTTCAGAATCCTCACATAAAGCTGCCCTACAAGGTAGTCAAAAATAATAATACTAGTATTTTTGAAGTTATTCATAATTGAAAGTTTAATACAAGTAGTTTTACTACGGTACTATTAGTGGTAACTGGAGGACTTGCTGGAATCTTGAACCAAACGTGGAATATGAATTTATCTTTTTCCTTGCTTTTTGACAAGGGGGAGAAAATTCGTTGTGCACCCCTCTAAATTTATGAGGCCTACCGGTACCGGTAGGTACACTAGAAGATTGTCGTACTAAAAACTGTTTCTGTGCATCCACGGGTACAGTAACTTGATATGAACCTCAAATGGATTGAAAACTTTAATTCTTGATTCACCCAAATAGTACAAGCATACAGTTCGTACTTTGTTTCTAGATGGTTCTTTATCACCAAAAATGATCAGAATGACTCCCTCATGGCTCGTGTGATTCCCAAAGGTTGTTTTAAGTCACATTCTTTTTTTCCGTTCTACAGCCGTTCGGAAAAGAAGGCTATTCATTCCGACGAAGATTCGATTCGACCGACTCGCTGCCCAAAAACAAAAATTCCTCGCAGTACGAAGTAATTTGGATATTGGTCCCGGTTATTGCCCATGGTATCCACGGTGGCGTCGGAAGAGCAAGGAAAGAAGACAAGCCAATGTTTGTGAAAAAGATTGAACTATGGATTCAGCGAATGGCTGAGATCAAACAAATGTTGAACAGAACACCAAGCACCTTACATCAGATACCAAGACTGGAGGTGCCGTGTCATTAAATACAACGAGCACCGCACAAACACTCTTCCTAAACTTCGACACTTATATTTTATCACCCATCGTGTCTGCCAAAAATGCTGACAATGAAAACACCATCACCAACAAACCACCCGAACAAAATGCCATCGGTTCCACCCCAACCCGACACCATAGTCCACTACCACAATGAAACGTCTTTCTCGAGCAGCGAACAAGAATCCAGCAACAATGCAAAGGGCTCCTCCGCACTTTATCTCTTCGGAGACCCTTCCAGCCCTCGCATGGCGCTGTGCTGCGCTGGATTTCCGGACGACCACACCGTCTTCAGGCCCTTTGCCAAATCCCTGAGCGAGAAAGGCATCCTGGTCGGTGTAATGTGTCTACCAGGCTATGATGATCGCCCAGCCGACGGGGTTCCATGGACCGAGCACAATCCCAGTGGGTACACCTTTGACGAAATGGTCTCGTCCATAAGGGCAGCCGCGAGGGCTCTACGGGCCGCATCAAAAGCACCGGGAGACAAACCCGCGGCTCTCACGGGGATATTTCACGATTGGGGTGTTGTGCCAGCCACCATGTGGGCCCAGCGCCTCGAAGAAGAGGAGAAAGACAAGGCGGACAAATCCCAACCCCCGACACTGGACCGCATCGTGTTTTTCGACGTCCTGATGCCGCCTCCGCTGGATCGTGTTCAGGGAAAATACAATCCAGTTGAGGGGTTCACGGCACTGGAGGCCGCGATCACTGTACTGTACAAGGTGATCCTTGGCCTTGCGTTTTGGCTACGGGCCAATTGTTCCGAGTATCTGGCGGTAGTCTTCTTTCTGTGCACCGTTTTTGTCCTGAAAGGCCTGCGATTGGATCCGCTGTACTCCTTTGACGAGAATTCTCCGAAGGCACTGTACAAAAATAATGTTGGCCACAGCAATTCCGAGAGGATGAGCCTCTCTCGAATAATCTACATGTCGTACCCTTATTGGAACCTTATGCGGAAAATGGGGATGCTCGCAGGGACGGTCCACTCCAACTGGAAGGACACACCAATCCTGTACCTATACGGGCCCAACAAGCGGACACAGTTTCATCATAAGCAAACGCTGCGCTTGCTGGAGCGAGAAGCCAAGGAATCGCGGTCCATCAGCCAGGCCGTGGCGATAAGTGGGACCGGTCACTATCTGTACCTCCAGGAGCAAGAGCGGTGCCTTGAGCTTGTGTTCCGGTTCATGACCGCGAAAAAGTAAGACGAAGCGAATCTTTCTTTTGGGAGTAAATAGAATGCCGCTTTTCGATCATAGAGTTACAAATTTTCCCGATAGGCACTACAGCTGAAAATTGGTTTGTTCAAAATTCCTTTTCTACGTTCACGTTTGTGCTTTAATCCACAAACGGGATATGTATGCGCTGCTATCGTCGTTATCTGATTGAATGTCGAATTCGCGAAGTGCTGTGTACTAGAAGGATCAGGATCTTGCAATGATATTGTCTTCAAGATACGCATCTTGAAAAGCATTGCAATTAAGATAGACCTTCCCTCCTAGCAATGAAAAGGTTTAATCTGCTCGCACGATGATCTTCATTCGTTGTCGTGATCGAAGGAGTTTTCAAAATTGTTTGGCTCTTGTGGTCTTCCTCCGTGTTTGATATTCCACCGTCGCAATGTTTTTAGGTAGTGGTTCTTGTGCGTGGCACCACAAAGTTTCCCACTGTCACGGTTCTCGCAAACACAATGCCGGCGATCGTTGCGGCGGTGATGGGGAGGACAAAGCGGCTGCATCGAATCCACAGCGATTGAGGTGTGTGTGTCGACCGTGGCGATGTTTTTGTAGCGGTGGCAGCTGTCTCTGCCTCGGCATCGGGTGGGAGCCATTCCTCCCTACTCCCTGGGGGTGTTTCGGTGGATACGTCCGCGGTTGCTTTTGTCCCCACTATGCTTGCCTTTGCCCGAGCCCTGGTCCCCACCGATGCACGATCGAGCAGCGTTTTGGAGGGGTAGAGCTCATACAGGATCCGATGCTCGAGTCTTTGTACCTCTGCCCCCATGCTTGCGCGTTCCGCGGACGACTGCGGCCAAGGCTGCTTCCGATACCCGTGCCCGTACTCCCGAAAGTAGCCAGTGGTGATCTCGCCCATGACGGCCTTGCACCGGGACAGCAGCAAGGCCCTTTGGCCCTGCAATGCCTCGTCTGGCCGCAAGACCTTGCTCGGGCACCGCTGCAACTCGGCAATCACCGCGTTCAAACCCGTGAGGTGTCTCGCCCATAGATCCTCGTAGGTTTCCGGGGGTCTGTCGCGTTCCATAGGAGTGCCTGCGGGACGTATGCCTGTTATACTTTGTTAGTCTACGAACAAATCCTGGTGTTCGATGTAGTTCTAAGAAATCAATTACCTTCCTGTTACTTTGTGGTATAGAAGCGATGATGCGATAATGGAAAATGTAACGATATGATATAACACTAAAGTAATGTATGCGGTATGTAGCCGAACTGCCTCTTTTGCTTCGTATCGAACAAAATTGCTAGTTGAKTCGGGCTTCTTTTCGTTTTGATGCCTTTCGGTGGAATTGGATGGATCGGTTTGGATAGATTACCACTATTGACACGTACCGTTTCGAATTCCTGTTTGTTCTTTCTTGGAAAGAATCGATGGGTTGTTGGTAGCTCGATAGCGATAGTTCACGGCGTATGGAGTGGAGTACGATGCYTTGTTATTTGGTCTGCTTGTTCTRGTCTGATCTAGTCTGGTCTGGTTTGCCTTATCAAGGAACTCAGAGCCTTGCCTTCTCGCCCCCGTATCACTCCGAAAATGGCTCCGTGTTTYGCTTATTCTGTCCGGTCAAACGCAGGTACCTGTGTGCGAATTTTGCTGCAGTACGGTACCGTATTGGTCCTGGGTATCTTCTTCGTACAAACATGTTCTGGTACTTTTGCCATGCGGAACCAAACAAAACCTCAACGCCAAATGAAAATCGAGGTTTTGACGTGACAAGCTGTTCTTCAATCAACGTCGTGACAACGATGTACGGTACAGTACGGTACTTTCACTATTCACTATTCACTACGAGTGGTTCAAAAAAGAAGAGATCTGAACTACGGGAAGGATAGGAATGTGTCATAAATTTAGACCCCTGCGTACGACTACGTAAACTCAGTCCTACGAATCAGCCTTTTTACCGCGCGTTTCGCGCAACTATTGTGAGGGTAAATCCCGAGTAGATATTGAATGACCTCACTCTTTATTGTAAACACATAGTAGTTATGACACCAAAGAGCGCACGTCTATTTGGCAGGTTATGAGCAACATTTAAACTTACCTCAGCTCATCAACCATCATCAGCAACAGGAAAACAAATCAGCTGAACACGCTGATCTGGCAACACCACATGCTGGTGTCCTCTCCAGCAGAGACCCTCCTGGATCAGAGGAACAACAAACACGTCAAACCACCACTTGTTGGACTTGTTGTCCCCGTCCCGCCCCGAGGAGCTGTCCCAAAGATTTTTTTGGAGGAGGATGTTAAGAAAGTGAACATGTACAAACACTTCTCGTACCAAACCCATTCCAAAGAACATATTTCTCTTCAATAAAACACTTACTACCGGGCGCTCACTGAGGCACTTCTTATTTCCGACTGCTAATTACTGCGGACTATTACACTTCAGCAACTGGACCAACCATTCCCTTCACTCCCTCCCGTGYGATTCGGKAAGAGTATTGTACCGGTGGTGTGGATCTTGCGATGCAGCCAGGGGCGCGTTGCAACGATCCCGGGCAGGAACGCCAGCGTTCGTGGCACCAAACAAAGATAATCTCAAATGTTTTTTGAATCGAACCACAGAATGAACGAAGGAATCCATGGATCGATTCTGTGATGCCTCTTCGGTAAGGCCAGACCTTGGCTGAAACAAGGACGACCGTCATTCGAAGGAAGGAAAGAACGAATTTCCCCCGTTCCGGTGTGGCTTTGTTTTGTTTGGGTCTGTGTCGTTCTCCTCGCAAAGGAGGCTCGGTGTACTTGCTGTTCCACCGCGATCCCCGAGGATCCGGCTAGCACCTCGGTTCCGGGCGTCCCTGCCCGGGAAAGTCTTCCTTAGATCGGGCCACCCGGAGGAACGAACCGATTCTGGTATTTCTCGCGATCGCTCTAGAGGCATGGAACTAGGAAAAATGGGAACGGCAAGAAATGCTTGATGCTTGGCTGCTAGAAACTGCGTCCCGTAGCCCSCGTCCGGTTGCAGCAACAGAGGATCAGAAAGAACGCTGCCGAACTACCATACCGAACTACCGTAGTCCATATTCCACACTACTGCAAACACTAGCGAACACACCGTGCTGCTCGGAGGCGATGACGTTCGAAAAGGTTCGCAAGAACGGGTGTGGCTCGGAAGCTTGATTCACAGATCGTTATTTACTAGATGTAGTAAAACCAAATCGAATACATACATGCGATACGATGCGTTACTCTTACGTCACTAGTTCGCTAAGACGTGCCGGTGTTCAGGTCCAGACTCGATCCCAATTGGTTCGAACGATCCGAGGCAGGCGACCTCCGTCGCAGCCGTCTCGGATCCGAACGCACCGTCGGAACGAACGATTCGGGAGCGRGACCCCCGGCGGGCACTGCAACGGTGCGGCCCGGACAGGGAAACCCCGGATCGTCGTCCTCCCGATTACCACCGGACCAACAACAGGGGCCGGGCCGGGCATACAACCCCTCGGCGCCTAAGYGCAGGGTCCCAGACCGACCAGGGCGCAGGTWGCCYTGCAGGATTCGAAGACCCGTCTTCCCTCCGACTTCTTCCTGCACAGTCTTCGCAGCTTCCTACGGTTCTTTTTGTTAATGTTACCCGCAAATCTCTGCAGCCATTTCGTTCCGCACTTCTTTTTGCTGTTGCCCCGGAACGAAAAGGTGCCATCGTCCTCGCACTCGRGAACTGGAACCGGTGCAGCTCCGATACAGAAATCCTTCACTTCACTATACCCAAACTCGCKGCCGGAAAATATTTCCACCCCATCAAGGGTTCCGGTGTACCTCCCATCGCCCTCAGTCAGACCGTCACCATGTGTGTCACGAATCTCGAACTGGTAGCACCCTGGAGACAAGCAATAGTAACCTTCTGCTGATGGAAAATTGTACTGAGTGTTATACGAATACTTGGCATAGCCATCATCCTGGTCAATAACTGCTCCGCTACTGTCACGAAAAACCCAGCTAGTGTCATAGCTATAGTCATCTGTCAGGAGGCCAATCCTAAATCTACCTACACCACCACAAGAAGGAGGAACACGTGTGGTGCTTGTGATCACTTCAACTGTTGCATCAGTTCCAACAAGGGATACAAACTTGACATAAACTCCATACTCTGTGCCCCCAAAGTTGTTGATACCATAGACATTGCCAACAGGGAGAGCAGCGTGACGCCAGCTCAGTTTACTAGAATCATAGTAGTCATCATCAAACTTTTGTTCTGTCTGGGAAACAGCCACCATATTGGCTGCTTCTGCAGTGTCGGCTTGTGCACCAACAGCTTCGTTGTATCCAATAAACCAATCGTTTTCACTACCTGCATCCAATTTCAAGGTGATGAGTTTGTTGGCACTTCCAATTGCCTGGTATTGCTCAATACCAGTGAAGACAAATGTTCTGCTGCTACCAGCCCAATCAAGGGGATTCACTGTAGCTACTTGATTGTTGAACCATCCCAGTTCAAAGTTTTTTACTGCATTGAAACACTGGCGACCACCAWCTCCCCACCCCATCACGCCAATGCCATCACCGTACTCGTCGTCACCCACTCCACTGTGCTCTAATCCAAAGTTGTGACCGAGTTCATGCATCAAGRTTGGGGTGTCYATACAGTAATGGTAGTTGTAAAAGCTCCAGGAGCCGCTGAGGAAAGCATACCCAGCATATTCAGGTACAAACAGAGGTTGRCAGACAACAATSAGATCAGAGCTGTCAATTGCGTCACCGTACTGGCTGTATAAGGCATCCATGGCAGCCTCTTCAAGCCGTTCAAGATCTGATGATGCAGTATTGATAGAAAGTTCCACCAGTCCACTRTTACCAACTGCAGCAGGTTGAAGGTCCAATTGATTCCTTGAACATGCTGCAAACTGTGATTTCATAGATAAAGAGCCTTGAAATGTAGCATTCAGAATTGCATTTGCATCTGCTTCATGTGAAACACCATCGCTGTTCGTGACACGAACCACCAAAACTTTCTTGGTGCCAAAGGGACTGGGATAATC